ACACTGGTGACAGGGCAGTGAAGGGTTAACTGGAGGGGGGGGGCGATCAGGGGGTTAAATGTGTCCTAGAGTGTTCTAACTGTAGTGTAGTGCTTGTGTACTCACTTTTTGGATGTCTTCTTCTCTGTCTGGAACGGAATGTGTCCAGGCAGAGAAGAATGACATCATATCCTGCCCTGTGTGTATGTCAACACAGGACAGGATAGGACAGGGACCGATCATGTGATTTCAGCCAGAAATCACTGGCTGAAATCTAATGATTGATCCCTCCTGGATCAAATAGTGTCCCGCGGGTCGGCGGGAGCGCGCGCGCGCGTGCCCCCTGCCGGCGAAAGTGTCGGGAGCGCGGAACCCGTTTTTAAACGTGGTTTTGCGCTCCACTGCCGCCCTGCACACGTATATACACAGTGGCAGGGCGGCAAGCGGTTAAAGGACTTCAGACCAGGCAGATGAAAAAGTTTCAAAGACTTTACTTAAATAAAGTGCAAAACAGCATACAGTCCAAGGGACACAAAGGCAAAAGAACAACAGGACTTCCCCAAGTTTTTTCAGTAACAACCATTGTTCCTAATTCTCTAGTCCCTAAACCTAACCAGGCTGCCCTGGCATTCCTGCAGAGGTGGAGGCCATGAGGTCACAGCATCCAACAGAGGTATGCTCCAGCAGCTGGTGTCTTTGGGGTGAACCCCAAGTTTTGACAGTTTTTCATCTTGATGGCAGGCTGTGTCATCTTGGTACCTTTTCCAGGTGTAGCTCTCTTCGAGGAACCGGAGAGACCATGGACAAAAACCAAAGGCTAGATAATAGCAACAGCAGCAATGAACCTCTCAATCCAGCTCATTGTCCACTTTTATATACACAGGTGCAGTGGGTCGGACCCAAAAAACTCTCCAAAAACCTAAGAAACAGGAAGGACATCAACTCCTACCCACACTTTCGGGGAAGCACCTAACTCACTCATTTCAACCTGCCTACGCACTGACCATCACACTAATGTATCATGAATAAGATATTGTCATTTTTAGCTGGGGTTCCCTGTGAAAGCTGTTTCAAGGGTTCCTCTGTTTTGAAAAGGTTGAGAAAGTCTGCTCTAAATCAAACCTTGTCTTTATGGAGCCAGCTTTGTGCACAAGGGTTATACTTGAACCGAAAAGGGCCTTCCCCAAACTATTACCACAAGGAAGATCACAATTGTCTAAAATATCTTTGCCTGTTGAAGCATTACCAGTTCCCTTCACTGGAAACAACTGAACTCAATAATTTGGAGCAGGGGCAGACTGACAACTCATGGGGCCCCTGGGCAATAGGGGATCATGGGGCCCCTGTATCCTTGCCCAAACTCAAAAAAGCCTATGAAAAAGGTACCAGGGGCATCTCATGGGGCCCCCTACTGTACCCCTGTTTCCTCCTGTACCACTTTCCTCTCCCTCCTAGATTGTAAGCTCGAAAGAGCAGGGCCCTCGAACCCCTCGTGTATTGTGTTGTTTCTGTCTTGTCTCATGTTCTGTCCCCCTTGCTATTGTACAGCGCTGAGGAAACCCTTTGGCACAATATAAATACTGTATAATAATAATAATACTGACCCCAGGCTCTCGGGCAGTGGTTTCCAAATGGTCAGTCCACCCCTGATTTGGAGAACCCCATAGTTTTGGCCATATAGTGGTGGTCTATGTCCACCAACCTTTGGCCATATAGTGTATATGCAGCCACTATAAGCTTTACTTAACAAAAAGATTTTTAAAATATTATTAAATCTATGTCATCCAAACTTTTCACATTTAGCTAGGGCTTCTCAGAGACTTTATGTATGCTCGCAGGGGTTGTTACAGGTTTGCCCAGTGACCTCTGCAAAGCAGAATATTTAAACCGACGACAAATTGTCTCACTCTAGCTGCACAATGGCGGCCCTGTGGAGCCCTGTGGAGCCCTGTCGGCTAATTGTTATTAATGTAACTTCAGTCTTAGGTAAACATTACGGATTGCATTCTGCTGGGCTCCGTGTCCTTGTTAGTACTGAAAGCAGTCCAAGTCAAGAGCAAATGTTATTGTTTTCATTCAGAAGGTCATTGGGTCAAGTCAATCAAAGAAGCATCTGGAGCTTTCCAAAGAAAGATGATGATCACTTCCACAGATGTATCTTAACACAAAAAAAATGACAAGCTTCCAGCCAGATACGCTCCTCAACATCCAAAGGAAGACACAGACGCCGCATGACAGCAGAGAGCTTTGGCTACAGCAATTTCTTTGAAGAGCGTTTTTAGGAAAAGTAGGAGGTTTATGTTAGAGTAGAATAACAGTTCTAGTAAGAATATAAAAAGAAGGCCAAACATTGACAAATATGGTTGTATTCCCCATAACGGCATTCAAAGGCCAATACCTAGGGCAGTAGGGTGATAAGGGGCAACTCAAAGCTGGGATAATTTATTTCTTGTTTTTACATAGTATATAAGAGCTGTCAGACCATGGAGCTGCCAGACTGCAGGAGGCCTTCGTGGAGATTATTATTATATAGCGCCAACAGTTTGCTCAGCGCTTTACATTATAGTGGGAGACAATACAGTAACAATACAGTTCAATACAAGAGGGAATTGAGGGCCCTGATCCTTGGAGCTTACAATCTAGGAGGGAGGGGTGAGTGCTACAATAGGTAAAACTGTGGGGGATGGAGTGGTTGGAAGCGTAGAGGATTCCAGTATTAGCAGAGGGCGGGATAGGCTTCCCTGAAGAGATAGGTTTTCAACGATCGTCTAAAGGTAAGTAGAGTAGGTGATAGTCTGATAGCTTGGGGCAGGGAGTTCCAGAGGATGGGTAACGCCCTGGAGAAGTCTTGGAGAAGAGCATGGGAGGAGGAGATAAGGGAGCTAGAAAGTAGGAGGTCTTGCGAGGAGCAGAGTGTACGGTTTGGGAGATTAGAGTTTTCTTTTTTTTTCCTGGTCGGCCTTTTAATTTTTGATTTTTTATTAAAGGACTTGTCAAAACCTTGTGCTGTGTTTTTATTTACTGTTTACAATTTTTTGGTGAATGAGTTTGGGTACTATGTACGCCATACTCATTCAAATGGGGCAGGATCTGGAGTCCCCCCTTGTTAACCTCCCTAGCGGTCTGATTATGTCCATATTTCTGCGTTCAAAGCGGTACATTTTTTTGCATGGAAATATGTATTTTTTTTATTGTAGGCCTGTAATTTTTAGGAATAACTCACTGAAATCTGTCCTAACAAGAGTCTAGTAAACATCCCGGGTATGATAAAATTTGAAACACGAAATCATAAATTATAATTTATTAAAATAATCATAAAAAATAATAATATAATAATAATACATTTAATTCAATAATGTAATCAAACCAAAAACACTGAAATTTGAAATATAGCGCCAAGTTCGCACATTGCTGAGCAAAGTCGCAAAATCGTTTTCAGTGTCTGATGATTCACATTCACAACACTGCCCCTAACTACCTCACCAACCTGATTCCCAGGTATCACCCTACCCGTACCCTTCGCTCTTCATAGGACCTCCTTCTATCTTGCCCCCTGGTCTCCTCCTCCCACGCACGTCTGCAAGACTTCTCCAGGTCCTCCCCCATCCTCTGGAACTCACTACCCCAATCCATCAGACTGTCACCTTCCCTCCTCACCTTCAGGCGCTCCCTGAAAACCCATCTCTTCAGGGAAGCCTACCCCACCCTCACCTAACTGCCGTTCTCCTTCATTCCTCCTACCACTCCATCCCCCACAGCCACTTCCTCCTGTACCACTACCCCCTCCCTCCTAGATTGTAAGCTCGAAAAGAGTAGGGCCCTCTAACCCTCGTGTGCTGTTTGTTGTTGCTGTACTGTTTCATGTATTGTCCCCCCCTCTATTGTACAGCGCTGAGCAACCCCTTTGGCGCTATATAAACTCGATGTTATGTAATGTAATAATGTAATGATGATGAATTTCCCCCACGAATCATTACAACTCAATTCTGCAAGTGGTTCTGATTTACTATCGCTGTTCTCTAGCCGGTCTAAAACCACTTTTGACCTAAAGGGACGCTTTTTGGATGTCATGGACGTTTCTCAGTTTCCAGGCAGAAAGAACAGTAAAAATGCAGGCAGGGCGCAGGACAAAGCACTCGGGACAAAATGTATGTGAAATGGGTTGATACAGGAATGTTATACTATGTGATTTTAGTGTATTTAGTGAATGTCACTTTTACAGTTTTCAAATTTCCCGCCAGTTCTGTCCCCCGTACGTCCCGACGTCGCAGGGAACGGAACCCAGATGACAGATGCCGACATCGGCTGGAGGACATTACAGGGGACACTGCAGGGGGGACATCGCAGGAGCGCAGGACAAGGTAAGAGAAGAAGAGATCTCGGAGCAATGCTGCAGGGTATTCCCGAGTGTAGCTCGGGGTTACTGCTTGTGGTGCTGAAACTTTACCCCGAGCTACACTCGGGAATACCTCCAGGGAGGTTAAATGGGGCTGCCAGATTCCGATAAGCCCCCCGCCCACAGACTCACACAACCACTGGCCAGGGTTGTGTGGAAGCTGCCTATGTCCTCGTCAACATGGGGACATGTTGAGGGCATGTGGCCTGGTAGGGTTTGAGGGGGGGGTGCTCACTTGTCCCCTCCTTTTTTGACCTGCCAGGCTGCATGCTTGGATACGGGTCTGGTATGGATTTTGGGGGGACCCAACACTATTTTTTTTTGTTTGACGTGGGGTTCCCCTTAAAATCTTTACCATAACCAAAAGGGCCTGGCATGGATTGGAGGGGACCCCACGCCGTTTTTTCATAACTTTATATTGCAATGTTTTATTTTTTACATTCATCTGTCAGTGGGATTCCCTGAGGACTCCTCCATTAATTAAGGACACAGCAGATGGCTTCCCGACCCTCTGCTTAACAACCAGTGAAAATAAAAACTCTGGTAAACATTGGGCACCGGCGTTTACCAGAGTTTAGGAGAGTTTAGTAATTCTACTGCTACTAAGAGCTTCTAAAAGTATATGTGTGCATGGACACATAGGCTAATGCGGGCTTCGGGGAGATCAGACATAGTGAATGCACGGTCCGGGGAGATCAGATATAGTGAATGCAGGGTCCGGGCAGACCAGATATAGTGAATGCAGGGTCCGGGGAGACCAGATATAGTGAATGCACGGTCCGGGAAGATCAGATATAGTGAATGCAGGGTCCGGGGAGACCAGATATAGTGAATGCAGGGTCCGGGGAGACCAGATATAGTGAATGCAGGGTCCGGGGAGACCAGATATAGTGAATGCAGGGTCCGGGGATATTAGATATAGTGAATGCAGGGTCCGGGGAGACCAGATATAGTGAATACAGGGTCCAGGGAGACCATATATAGTGAATGCAGGATCTGAGGAGACCGGATATAGTGAATGCAGGGTCCAGGGAGAGCAGATATAGTGAATGCAGGGTCTGGGGAGACCGGATATAGTGAATGCAGGGTCCGGGGAGACCAGATATAGTGAATGCAGAGTCCTGGCAGATCAGATATAGTGAATTCGGGGTCCAGGGAGAGAGGATATAGTAAATGCAGGTTTTGGGGAGACTGGATATAGTGAATGCAGGGTCCGGGGAGATCAGATATAGTGAATGCAGGATCTGGGGAGCCCGGATATAGTGAATTTGGGGTCCAGGGAGAGAGGATATAGTAAATGTGAGGTTCGGGGAGACCACATATAGTGAATGCAGGGTCTAGGGAGACCGGATATAGTGAATGCAGGGTCCGGGGAGACCAGATATATTGAATGCAGGGTAGAAGCTGGTACTGCAGCCCACAGAGCAGGTGAGCCACAGCACCACCAGTGCTGAGTCTTTTCCTGACGGGTGTGGTCGAAAGGTGGAAAGCTCTGCTGAGCTCCAGGAAGGCCCGAGAAGCCTGGGGCTAAAGTGCCCTGCTCAAGCCCAGGGAGGATGGCGGATCCAGCGGTGGGAGACCCCCGGAGGGGCCTAGTACCGGTCCTGGCTTCCCATCTGTGGAGGACCTGGGAACAGCCCCAAAGAAGGGGGAAGGATACGCGGAGTATAGAGGCCGGGTAGCTGCCCGGATAAAGACCGTGGAGAAAGAGGAGGCCAAGCTGGTCAAATTGAGCATGGAGCTCAAGAAGATGTGCTCCAGTTATGATCGGGTCTGGAGCTCAAAAAGACCGGCCATGAAGCCTGGTCTGGAGGCCTTAAAGCAGTGGGTCTCCATCCAAGAGAAGTATGTGGCGGCCCTCAAGAGAAAGAGCGGAGTCTTGAGGGAGAAATATGCAAACAATAGCCGCTTTAAAGCAGCTAGGAGCAAGTGTGTGGCGGTGGCAAGAGGCAATGTGGACGAGGTCTCCTCCATGGAGGAGCTGTCGGATGCATCAGTGATAGGAGGTGAGCCGGTGCAGGGGCTGGCTGAGCCTGCTGCAGTGATTTCGGAAATGGCGCCGGCTGATACCGAGGCCACGTATGAGTCGGGCTCCCTCCCCCTCGGGCAGCAGAGCGCGGATTGGGGAACGCAAGTGGAGGAGGCGGAGACCGCGGGAAAGCTCAGCTTTGTCCAGGAAATGGAGCCGGCGTTGAGAAGTGATCACTTCCAAGGATTCCGGAAATGGGGAAGAAAATATGCCGCGTAAGCCGGCCAAGCCGGTGAAGAAGGTCCGGGCATTTTTTGTCCAACTGGGGAGCTCCGTGTCAGTAAAAGATGGTGTGCTGATGGTCGAAGGTGTGCTGCAGGACTCTGCAAAATCTGGTGGTGACGCACCAATGGACATCCTTGCGGGTAATATGTCTGGGGCTATACTTATAGTGCAGGCTCCTCCTGCAGTGCAGGGTTTGGGTGGTCCGGGTTCCTCTGTCCCCCTGGTGAAGGCTCCCATTGGCTCCGCCCCCTTGAAGGCTGTGGAAGGTGTTGGGGTTGTGTCTGTCCTGTTGGGGTCCCCATCTGGTGGGCTGATTTCCCAAACCCTAGTCCCTGCGGGTCAGGTACTGCTTAGTTCCCATGTAATTGTTTCTGAGGTACAGGTGCGGGCCTCCCAGGGCTCTGCTTTGTCCAGTCCCCCTTCTGGTAGTCCGGGTCCCCAGGTTCAGGGGTCTGAACCGGTGGTCCCTGGTCCTCAGGTTCAGGCTCCTTCTGTTGCCCTGGCTGCGGTCCCCCCGGACCCTGCTCCCTCTGTTGAGAGTACCCCCGCAGTTTCATCCGCTTTTGTCTACTCGGCGGTGGTTAGGGGTGGGCATACGATACGATGTATCTTTTATGCGGCCGGAATTGCTAGATCTTTTTTGGCAAAGATATGATTCCATCTATGCCCATAGCCCGAGGTGGGTTGGTCTGTCCCCAAAATTGATATCTCACCAGAACGTGGTCAAGAAAATCACGGTTCTGGTGAGAAATGAGTCGATCCCCCCTGCAGATATTGTGGTGTGGCTGGGGAGATATGGGGATGTTATGGCGCAACTGAGTAAAATTACGGATGAAAGGGGGATCTGGACAGGCGGGTGGACGACCACCGTCTGCTTGAGGGTGGAGGGGAATGTGCTCCAGCATATTCCTTCCTCTACCTTCCTTGGCAGGGATAGGTTAATAATTTTTTTATCCTGGCCAACCGCGGGTATGTCACCGGTGTGGTGCCAAGGGGCATTTTGCCGCCACCTGTCCTGTGATGTGCTGCTCCTTGTGCCAGGAGATTGGGCACCTGGCCAAGGATTGCAGCGTAATAAGGTGCAACTTGTGTGGGTCTGTGGGGCATTCCTATAATTCATGTCCTGAAACCCTCTGTAACATCTCAGATAGGGTGTTAATAGCTGAATTAGACAGGCTGGATAATGAGGATGTGGCGGAGGAGGTAGTGAAGGCCACCCTGCCTTCTGGGGCAGGCCTTGGGGAGGTGGAGAAGGTTTCTGTGGTCCCTGAGGTTGCCCTGGTTGAGTCTACAAACCTAGTTAGGATTCCAGTAGTATCATCTATGGTGTCCATCCCCCTTCAAAAGAAGGGAAAGAAATTGGTGGAGGCAGCCAAAGGGGCTGGGGTGGTGGAGGTTGCAGTTGGGCCTTCTGTGTCCATTCCCCCGGTTCTCCTCCCGCTGCGTCGGGATAAGGTGCCTGATAAGGGATCCCAGGCTCCTGTTCAGGGAGGTCAGGTGGGGGTCCAGGTGGAGGAGGGTGGTCCACAGTTAAGAAGGGCAATAAGCCTGTCCTTTCCCCAGCAGGGTCGGTCTCCTCATTAGAGGTAGGGGATCTGGTTCTGGGGAACAAGTTTGGGACTCTGTCTGGGGAGGAGTAGGAGTTAGGTGATCCTACTTCCCCGATGGAGGATGAGGACGAGGGGGGTCTCTGAAGAGGTCAAGGGACCTTTCCAAGAAAACCAAAAGGAAGGTTAAGAAGCGCCATTCTCAATTACCTTAATGGCAGTTCCCGCTCCAATAAAGGTGGCAACCATTAATGTTGCCAGCATAAAATCTGTAAGTGCTAGAGAAACAGCCCTATTTTTGCTCAGCAGTATTGATGCTGATGTTTTATTTTTGCAGGAGACCCGGTTGTGTAGCTTGGCTGACGTTTATCTGGTCAAAAGGGAGTGGAGGCGTGGTCCATCTTTCTGGTCTCTTGCGGTTGAGCCTTACAGCAGAGTTGCAGTGCTTTTTACCGGTATGGTAACGTGCCGGCGGGTAATTGAGGTGGAGATTGGCAGATGTCTGATCTTGGATGTCCTTGTGAGGGGTCAGGAACTGCGCCTAATCAATATCTATGGACCGCAGTCCAAATGGGACAGGAAATGTCTCTTCACAAAGATCAAGCCTTTCCTTTTTACGTCCCGGCTGGTGGTCTTTGGAGGTGATTTTAACACCATAACTAGGCCCAAGGACAGGAGGGGCTCCAATGACAGGCTGGGATATGATAGCGTTTTTCTGAATGCTATAGTCAGGGAAGCAGGTCTGGTGGACGCCTTGGTTAAGTGCAGCCCAGACAGCATGGGTTTCACGTTTAGGAGAGGTAATAGTCAGAGCAGGATAGACAGGTTTTTTTTAAAGGAGGACTCTGCCTTCTCGGCTCCTGAGTGTCGAGTGGTGGAGTTCTCTGATTACCTTATACTTACTGTGACTTTGAATGTTTCAGACACGCCACTGAGAGGGAAGGGCATCTGGAGAATGAATTCATCTCTACTGGAAGACGAGGAGGTGAGACGATCTTTCGAGGAGTTCTTTCAGGCTCAGGTGACGTTGCTGGATTTTTGCAACAGTAAATCAGAGTGGTGGGAGCTTGTCAAGTTGCGGATTGGCAGGTTTTTCAAGGCCATAGGGAAAAGAAAACAGCTTGATAGATACAACGCCTACCAACGGTTGCGGAGGAAGCTCGACCACCTTGTCTCTGGCGGTGGAGATTCTGGGGCAATCTCAGAGGCTAAGCTTCTCCTCAGGAAGTTCCAATATGACCGGCGCGCCTCTTTGATTCTGGAGAGGGATTATGGGAAATATCACTCGCCCAACCCTTTTCAGAACTGCAAACAGAGCACAGCGGGTACAACGGTCTCTGCCTTACGGGTTCCCTGACAAAATCCAGGTCAGGGATCCTGGAGGTCTCTAGGTCCTTTTATGAGGACTTACTGAGTGTGAAGAGCCTTGACCGGACAAGGAAGTTGAGCTTTTTGGAATCTACACCAGGTTTGGAAGGTAATGTCCCGCTGGCAAGTTTGACAGGGGTAATTGCAGCAGAAGAGGTGATCAAAGCTATTGACAGTCTGGCCATTAAAAAGACTCCTGGGCCAGATGGTTTGACAGCTGAGTTTTTTAAAACTTTTAAATCCAGCTTGGCACCCCATCTTGCGGAGGTTTATAACAGCTGTCTGGATGAGGGTTCTCTCCCTCCCTCCATGAGGCGATCTGCTGTAATTCTTTTGTCAAAAGGTAAGGATCCTTCGGCTATTGAGAATTGACGCTCCATTAGCCTTCTCAATGTCGATAGAAAGGTTCTGGCAAAGATCTTGTTCTGTTGCTTGTCGTCAGTGGCGGACGGTTTGCTTTCACGGCAACAGCATTGCTTGATCCAGGGTAGGAGTACCTTTACAGCGGTGTTAGCTGTCCGGGAGGCTCTGGAGCGGTGTAAGGCTGAGGGCTGGGGGAAGTACTTGCTGGCAGTGGATCAGGCAAAAGCCTTCAATCGAGTCGATCATGAGTACCTCTGGCACCTCCTGGACCGGTATGACCTAGAGGGGAGGTTTATTGGCTGGCTTAAAACACTGTATAGAGAGGCTGAAAGTTTCATGTTGGTGAATGGTAGGGTTGGGCGGCCTTTTGGGGTCGGATCTGGTGTGCGTTGAGCCCCTTGCTCTATGTCTTTGCCATCGATCCCTTCATCAGGAGTTGGATGGTGGGGCGTTGGGCGAGGTGCCGGTGGGTGCTGCTGGGGGTCCCTCTCTGAAGGTCATTGCTTACGCTGATGACGTGTCTGTCTTCATCTCCGGGACTGAGGAAGCGCAGGAGGTAGTCTCGGTGATGGATCAGTATTCTGAGGCATCAGGCTCCAAGGTCAACCAGGATAAATGTGAACTTTTCTGGATGGGTAGGGATGGTGAGAACTTCTCACTGCCAGACACCTTCCCAGTGCCTCAGCAGAGTATAAAAGTCCTAGGCATCAATTTCGGTCCTGCTGATTACAGCAAGTCAAATTGGGAGGCTAGGCTGTCTGTTGCCGAGGTCAAAGTGAGGTGTTGGAAGGGAAAGGGTCAACTTGATTAAGACTTTCCTGGTTCCCATCTTTTTGTATGTCAGTTTTGTCTGTCTTTTGCCAGAATCGCTCTATACGAGGATCTACAGCTGCTTCTTGCAAATGTTATGGGGGAACAGGCTGAACCTTGTCAAGCGGGATGTAACTTACTCATCCAGGCGGGAGGGTGGCCTAGGTATGGTCAACCCGATAGTTTTCTTTTCTCTGATGTTCATGAAACATAACTTTGGTAATATGCTGGCAGAGAGACCGCCTGCATGGGTAGGGCTGTTCCGGATCTGGTTCAGACACTTTCTGAGCTGTTGGGAGAGTGGCGGGCCAGTGAAAAGCCTGCGGTTCAAGCCCGGCAAGCTCCTGGCTTATGTGGCCCCGAGCCTGAAGTTACTCCGGCGGTGGCATGTGACAACGGAGGAGATCAGATCTCTCCCTAGGAAACTCCTGGGTGAGAGGATTGTGACAACCGCTTTCCATGCGCCGCTGGCCTTGAAATATTGCCCAGGCCATATTATGAGGGAGGGTTTGCACTTAATAAATCTGGAACGGGTCCCCTTGAAATTTAGGGACCAAGCCTGGCTCGCTTTCCATGGTAGGCTCTATGTGAGGGGTAACTTGAAGTACCGTCCTCCGGGTGACCGTGGTTGTCCGAGGTCGGAGTGTCTGGGTGAAGTGGAGACTATGGACCACTTCTTGCTTCAGTGCCCCTTTAACGTAGAGGTGTATAAAGAGGTGGGTGGGGCTCTGAGTGTTCCTTTCCTGCACCGCATGTCTTATGCGGAGTGGGTGTATGGAGCATTCGAAAGTCGTCTGGATTTTGATTTAGACACTTTGTTCTTAGTCAGTTTAGTAGTCCGTTACTACATGTGGAATGCACGGTGTCAGGTCTCCATCCGGCAGAAAGTCCTCCCCGTCCAGGTGGTTATGTGTGACATTCTTGGTGAGGTTGGGAAGATTTGGGGCCTTGAAAAAGACAGGTGGCGGCGAAAGGCTTGGATGGAGGCGTGGAGGAACATCGGGGCTGTAGCTGCTGCCTGTTGATCTCGGGTGGTGGTATCTGTCCCTATTTTCCCTTTATCACCCCCTAGATTTTGGAAGTTTGTTTCTTTTTGATGGAAGGCTGCAGGTATTGAAAATCTGTGTTCCTTAATCTTCTTTAGGGTATGTAAATAATGTTTGTTTGGTTCAAGCTTAGTTATTGTAAAGCCTTGTAGTGTTTGGCTATAAAGGCCATCTGTGGAGGATGGAAATTGTATATAGTTTGTGTCTTGGCCATAAAAGCCTGTTAAAAGCAAAAGTTTTTTTTTTCCAGGTATGGACTTATCTGTTGCAGGCCATAAAAGCCGGGTGTTCTGTGTTTTTTTCCCAGGTATGGACTTTTGTGTTGTAGGCCATAAAGGCTTCCCGGACTTTTACATTGCCTGCATGAAGGATGTGCTTATGTTTACGCTTATTTATTCATATTTATCTGTTGTATTTTTATAGAAAGTTAATGCTGGTTGGTTTGTAAGCACAAATTACAAATAAAATATTACCAGATATAGTGAATGCAGGGTCCGGGGAGACCGGATATAGTGAATTCAGGGTCCGGGGAGACCAGATATAGTGAATGCAGGGTCCAGGAGACCTGATATAGTGAATTCAGGGTCCGGGGAGACCGGATATAGTGAATGCAGGGTCCGGGGAGACCAGATATAGTGAATGCAGGGTCTGGGGAGACCAGATATAGTGAATTCAGGGTCCGGGGAGAGCGGATATAGTGAATGCAGGGTCCGGGGAGAGCGGATATAGTGAATGCAGGGTCCGGGGAGACCAGATATAGTGAATGCAGGGTTTGGGGAGACCAGATATAGTGAATTCAGGGTCCGGGGAGAGCGGATATAGTGAATGCAGGGTCTGGGGAGATCGGATATAGTGAATTCAGGGTCTGGGGAGACCGGATATAGTGAATGCAGGGTCCGGGGAGTGCGGATATAGTGAATGCAGGGTCCGGGGAGACCGGATATAGTGAATGCAGGGTCCGGGGAGACCGGATATAGTGAATGCAGGGTCCGGGGAGACCGGATATAGTGAATGCAGGGTCCGGGGAGACTACATATAGTGAATGCAGGGTCCGGGGAGACCGGATATAGTGAATGCAGGGTCCGGGGAGATTGGATATAGTGAATGCAGGGGTATGCAGTTCCTTCAGAGCGCATGCGCCAGATTAAATGAAGAGAGAATATCTCCTAAATGGTGCACATTAAGAGATGTTCATTTTATCTACAGGTAAGCTTTATTATTAGCTTACCTGTAGGTAAAATTAAAAAACAGAGTTTGCAACCACTTTATTAATAGTTAAAAAGTAATATATTTTATTAATAAAATTGTATATTGTATAATAATAAATATAACAATATTAGCCGAATGACGTCATCCTAGAACGCAAACCCCCCCCCCGCTCCCCTAGCGGGACACACACAGGCACTGTCCTATGGAAACATGATCGCATGACATGGTAAACAGCCAATCACACCGGCCTTTTGCCACGTGATCAGTTGTGTCCAATGACATAGCTGATCACAAAGTAAATACAGTTGCCGGTTATTGGCAGTACTTTCCTCACTCTGTCTCAGCATGAGAAAAGTACTGCCAATAATCGGCAAGTGTCACAGAAGACATCTGCACTGATAGTCAGTGCCCTGAATGTTAGTGCAGCCCCAAAAAGTGCCCAACAGTGGCAACCATCAGTGGCCAGCAGTACCACCCATCAGTGCCCATCAGTGCTGCCCATCAGTGCCCAGCAGTGCTGCCCATCAGTGCTCATCAGTGCCCAGCAGTGCCGCCCAGCAGTGCTCATCAGTACCCATCAGTGCTCATCAGTACCCATCAGTGCTCATCAGTGCCCAGCAGTGCTCATCAGTACCCATCAGTGCTCATCAGTGCCCAGCAGTGCTGCCCAGCAGTGCTGCCAGTCAGTGCCGCCAGTCATTGCCATTCAGTACTGCTTATTAGTGCCCATCTATGCCGCTTATCAGTGCCCATCATTGCCACTTATCAGTGCAGCATCATCAGTGCCTCTTCATCAATGCCCACCAGTGTGCCGCCTCATTAGGTCCCATCAGTGCTGCCTATCAGTGCTGCCTAATCAACGCCCATCATTGAAGGAGAAAAATAACCTATTTGCAACATTTTATAATAGAAACAAAGAAAAACCTTTTTTTCACATTTTTTGCTCTTTTTTTTATTTTTTTTAGTGTAAAAAAATAAAAAAAGCTCAGTGGCTGTGCCGCCCATCAGTGCTACCAGTCAGTGCCACCAGTCAGTGCCATTCAGTGCTGCTTATCAGTGCCCATCATTGCCACCTACCAGTGCAGCATCATCAGTGCAGCCTCATTAACGTCCATCCTTGAAGGAGCAAAATGACTTCTTTGCAACATTTTATAATAGAAACAAAGAAAAACTTTTTTTTCAAATTTCATGAATGAAGCCATCCATTGTATATAACTGTCATGTGACCTGCTGTGATTGGTCACAGCAGGTCACATGGTACCAGCAACCTGGGCCGGTACTCAGATCTGTCATCGGCCGTGTCCGAGGTACACGGCCGGTGACAGATCGCGCCGCTGCGCAGCTCTGAAACTGCGCGAACTTGGCATGTGCGGGAGCATGCCAAATGGCGTGCACCCGGAATGGTGAAGCATTTTTGCCGCCGCCAAACGGCTATAGGCCGGGCGGCTAATGGTTAAAGGGGCATCTGTTCCAGGGGCGGACTGACCATTTGGAAACTCGGGCACTGCCCGAGAGCCCAGGGTCAGTAGGAGGCCCCATGGGATGCCCCTGGTACCTTTTTCATAGTCTTTTTTGAGTTTGAGCAAGGACATAGGGGCCCCATGATCCGCTGTTGTCCGGGTGCCCCATGAGTTGTCAGTCCGCCCCCGATCTGTTCACTCTCTGGCCCACATACCACTACCATCTATAATATGGCTGATCCTCCTTGACGTCTCCTTAATATGAAGAGCTCTGGTTTCAAAACCACACATTGCAGCAACTGCAGCTTGATATGACCCGACCGTCCAAGATTTCACACCGAGATTTAACAGTAGCCCACATACCTACATAGGTGGCGGAAACCTTGGCGATAATGCCAGGACAGGTTTTAATGAATTCTCAGGGGAACATCTCCAGCAGACATAAAAGTAATACAGCGGGTGGAGTCCTACAATCACGTTACATCTCTAGATTAGGTTAGTTTTGGAATGCAGCAAAAATCTTCTGTTCTCCTTATAAAGGGGCGTCATGTTCTGTGTTAACAGATGCCGGAGTATCCTTATAACCTGAAATTGGAACCATCCCTTGCATCTGCTTGGCCAGGCTTTGATTTTTGATACCTCATTGTTTAGCCAAAGTGCTTTTACATTACCTAAAATCTGACAGCGGCGCCGGGAAAGGAATGGACACTGAGAGCCCTTATTTTTGTAGCAATGCCTTTCAGCGGCTCCCCTGGTAGCATCGCCTCTACGACAGGAATAGAAGATATCTGAGGTGGTGGGGGTTCCCTGATCCTCGAAATGTTAGACATTGGGCTAATAGTCAGCACACATGGCACCACAAGAACCTCATATTGTAAAAGTGGGCTTGTTGTTACAATTCACACTTAACTAGAGTCAGTAGGATACAGCACTACAAATCAGCAAGCATTTTCACAAATCAATGAATAGAGCAGGGTTCTCCAAACTGCGGCTCGTGGGCCAGATGCAGCCCTTTTCTAGCCTTTAACCGGCCCTTGGGACACTATTCTTTCCCCTAATACGAGGCACTAGTCACTAGTCCTTCCATTGACACCAAAGATGGAGAACTAATTTTCTCATTGACACCAATGATGGGACACTATTCCTTCCACTAATGCCAATGATGGGGCACTATTCTTCCCATTGACACCAATGATGGGGCACCATTCTTCCTATTGGCACCAATGATGGGGCACCATACTTCCTATTGACACCAATGATGGGGCCCCATTCTTCCTATTGATACCAATGAGGGGGCACCTTTCTTCCTATTGATACCAATGATGGGGCACCATTCTTCCTATCGATACCAATGATGTGGCCCCATTCTTCCTATTGACATCAATAATGGGGCACCATTCTTTCCATTGATACCAATGTTGGGGCACCCACCATTGAATACACTCATTGGCCACTTTATTAGACACACCTTGCTAGCAGGGGCGGACTGACCATTTGGAAACTAGGGCACTGTCCGAGGGCCTGGGGTCAGTAGGTGGCCCCATGAGATGCCCCTGGTACCTTTTTCATAGGCTTTTTTGAGTTTAGGCAAGGACACAGGGGCCCCATGATCCCCTATTACCCGGGGGCCCCATGAGTTGTCAGTCCGCCCCTGCTTGCTAGTACCGGGTTTGACCCCCTTTTGCCTTCAGAACTGACTTATTCTTCATGGCATAGACCCAACAAGGTGATGGTCCACATTGACATGAGTTACAGTTGCCTTTCTATCATCTTTTACCAGTCTGCCCATTCTCTTCTGACCTCTGACATCAGCAAGGCATTTTGGTCCACACAACTGCTGCTCACTGGCTATTTTCTCTTTTTTGGACCTCTCTGTAAACCCTAGACATGGTTGTGAGTAAAAATCCCAGTAGATCAGCAGTTTTTGAAATACTCAGACCAGCCCGTCTGGCACCAACAACCATGCCACGTCACTTAAATCCCCTTTCTTCCCCATTCTGATGCTCGGTTTGAACTTCAGCAAGTCGTCTTCACCATGTCTAGATGCCTAAATGCATTGAGTTGCTGCCATGTGATTGGCTAATTAGCAATTTGTGTTACCAAGCAGTTGAACAGGGGTACCTAATAAAGTGGCTGGTGAGTGTATATTGAGAAAGAGCAAGGCTGGCTGAAAGTGACAGAGGTGTGTGTGTGTGTGTGTGTGTGTGGGGGGGGGGGTTTGAGTGAGAGAGAGGGGGAGTGGTGAGTAAAATGGGGATGAGAGAGGGGGGTGGAAGAGAGAGAGAGAGAGATGGGGGTGAAAGAGAGGGGGTGAAAGAGATATGGGTGAGAGAGAGAGATAGGGTGAGAGAGAGAGAGAGGGTGAGAGAGAGAGAGATATATGGGGTGAGAGAGAGAGATGGGGGTGAGAGAGAGGGGGGGAGAGAGGGTGGTGAGAGAGAGGGGGGGTGATAGAGAGAGGGTGAGAGAGAGAGGAGGTGAGAGAGAGGGGGTGGTGAGAGAAGGGGCGAGAGAAAGGAGGTGAGAGAGAGGGGGAGAGAGAGAGAGAGGATGATAGAGAGAGGAGGTGAGAGAGTGGGGGTGAGAGAGAGAGGGGGTGAGAGAGAATGGGGGGACGAGAGAGAGAGAGGAGGAGAGAGAAGGAAGGTGAGAGAGAGAGAGAGAGGGGGTGAGATACTCCATCACCAGCTGTGAGTAGGGAGGCATTACACCCCAGGACCGGGACCCGCTCCACCACTACATGACAGATTGTGAGCTACTTCCTGGATTGAAAGCTTCTGCCGTTGCCGCCTTCACCTCCTACCCTGCTCTCCTCATCGTCACTAGCAGTCCCTTGCTAGTTCAGTACACATTTCTCCCAGCACCTGATCTGCTCCCATCTTGGTCTCCCCTCACCCTCCCACATGGCCCTTCTCTGAGCCACAGTCCTGTCTCTCCTCCTCCCCAATCCTCCTCCGACCTACAGTCTGGGCTCTCCCTGTCACCCCTCCATGCTGTTCTGCACTTCGCTCAGTATTGGTGTGACAGTGGAGGATCAGGGGATTTCAGTGCTGGATTCACCCAAAAGTAGAAGTTCCAC